GGATGATATACAGTCCATAATGTTCTTTTGTTTTGATGTTAATATTCTCCCATATGTTTGTTACATGGGCCTTAATAGTAACCTCTTTTAATTTGATGTTAAGATCATTGATTGCTGTGTACACTCCAACTTCCATCTTAAACTGTGCAGACCTGTAACCAATTAATAAGTATGATAGATCATAAAACTTACATATAAAGCATTAAACTGTATGCAATGTCAGATAATAAAACACAAATTACAATGCATAATTGGACCTAAGGTTCCATAAGATCTGTTTATTTGTATTATATGTATATTGCATACCATATCACTATTTAATACTCAATCTACTTAAAACTATTGTTATAATATAATAATGACATGCTAGTTAGATTGTGTTTGATCCCTATAATACCTTAATTCAAGTTGTTGAAAATTTCATGATAAACTACATTCACTGTAACTCCACTATAAGCCACATTATCGTCATTGTCAACAATAATAATTTTAAGACCTTGAGGGGTCGTCACTCTTGACACTGTGACGTAAAACTGTCCATGTGTGAAACATGGTCTTGGAAGGTACAAACCCACATAATTCAATGTTTGTCCCTGACTTTTGTTAATAGTCATAGCAAAACTTGTTTTAATTGGTAACTGTGTTCGTTTCAAATGGTAATGTTATGTAACAAATGACAATGTGTCAATGTCAACAGCAGATGAGCCAAGAAAATGGGGACAATTATTTGACATGCTAATAATGTAAGCAAGTTATACCTTTCTTATTTATTTGTTTGCCTTTTCTCCTTCCTTTGTTGCTAGGAATAACCGAATTAGATTGGTTATTGTTCGTAACAGGTTGTACATTATCTTCCATTTGCAAGTGAGAATCAGCGAATGATGAATCACATAATATTTGTTCAATCCTTGTATGCTTGATAATAACCGGTGATGTATCCTGAAAGGAGGTAGTGCTACAGGTACCATTATCTGTATGAACAACTTTCCTCTTTACTTTTCTCTCTTTGTTTTTATAGGTTCGAAGAGCTAAAAACAGATGATGGCTAGTTAGTATTAAGGAGTATAAGTTTGTCAAAGTTGTAGTGCGTCAACAAAGAGTGAATACTTTCTCACTTTGATTCCAGCGATTTGAACTCTGTCGAATGATCTGTGATTCCGGCGAATTGAACTCTGTAGGTAATATTATCAATAATTTGAGGTTATTGCAGTAGATTTCTATTGACTATCAAATTAGGCATTAGTTACTATAAAGGTATAAAGATTGTTACATGTTATTCTGTCAATGAGCTTTGGAGATGAAGGTGATGTGAAAGAACTAACATCCATTGAGCTGCTACTTATATTCTCCATATATGCTCCAAAAGAGATTTTCTCCGAAAGTGCGAATTGAAATATTCTCTGAGAGAATTTCTGGTAAATGGTATCATACATTCCATATATGCTCAGAAAGATGTCTGGTAAGTTACCTTATTCACTCGCTTATATACTCATTATTCTCCATCATATGCTCCGAAAGATGTGCATCATACATTCCACATATGCTCAAAAAGTTGTGTTAAATGTGCATCATACATTTCAGTTTATAAATAACATACTTTGAATCATGAGACGATGAGAAGATATAAATTGTGTACAGGTTCTATCAAAGTCAAATAATATTCAATAAGTTAACATTCCAGAAGTATATATTCATGAATTAAAATGAATTAAAGAACAAAGAAGACCCCAAAATTGAACAGTTGATAAATTGTGATACTATGCTTACAGAATGTAAAGACAAATATACTAAAAGGTGCATAGTATACTTACAGAATGATTTAAGGATTGATTAATTCCAAAAGTCCAAAAGCTTTTTCCACTTCTATATAATTGAAGCCTAAATAGCATAAGTTAGCATAATTTTGTTATTTGAAGAACATGTTGAAGAAAATTGAGAGGGTAAAAAAAACTCACCCAAGGCAGAGGTTATTGTGAGATTGTGAGATTTTTGGAATAAGAAAAGATTGTAGAGTGTATACATGTATTTTCTTATTGCTCTTTTATGACCTGTTAACTTATAATATATTATAAATTTAGATTTGCCGCTTTTTTCAGATTGCTGCTCTTTTCACAGATGGTTTGAAGAGTTTTGCATTCAACATTTTGGTGGTTATTTTCAAAATTTTGTAAACTGAATGTGTGGGGCCCGCAATACACTGTAGCAAGTCCTGTTTTTGAAGAGGTGCAAGTTTGGTTACTTTTTCCACTTGGTTTTTCCACATATTGCCTCTCTTTTGTTTTTTTGGTTAACCATTTATATGTACATGAGGTGTAAACTGCAGAATTTTGCAAGTGGTTTGTGTGGGGCCCACAAAACACTGTAGCGACTATTGGTTTGAAGATTTATTCAAGCAACTTTGAATAATTTTCTTTTCACAGATTGCCATTTATTTTCTTTTTTTGTTTAAAGTTTACCAATTTATATGTATATGAGGTGTGAGTTGGTGAGTTTTGTAAAAGAATATGTGTGGGGCCCACGAAATGTTGAAGAGCCGATCCTGGTTTTGAAGAGGTATGTAGCAAGTTTGATTACTTTTGCCACTTAATTTTTCCACAAATTGCCTCTCTTTTGTTTTTTTGGTTACCCATGTATATATGTATATGAGGTGTAAACTGAAGAATTTTGTAAGTGGTATATGTGGGGCCTACAAAATGCTGTAGCAACTCTTGGTTTTGACAGATTGCTGTTTTTTAGCGTCTGCTGCTATTTTTTTTGTTTGTCCGATGCAATAAATGAGTATTGAAATTCGTGTTCATGCTACAGTTATATTCTAATATTTGATGAACAGTAATTCTCTGATCCTCCTATTTGTATAAAGGAATAGATGCAATAAATGGGTATTGAAATTCGTGTTCATGCTACAGTTATATTCTACTGTTCAATTTACTTTTTGATGAACAATAATTCTCTGGTCCTTCTATTTGTATAAAGGAATAGATATGATCATTCACTTCATACAAATATCTGTATGGATGAGATGAAATGTTTTTACCAAAAAAAAAGAACAAATTTAGGCGCCCATTTTGAAAATATTGCAAATAGCAACATAATCATGAATACTCTTGTACACATGACTTATTTTTCAATTAGTGGACCGATCCATCTTAATCGCAGGCATTCTGGCGTAGGATTATAACTAAAATTTGTATAATGCTATTGAGCTAAAAAGAAAGGTACATCCTTACATTTTATTAAAGAGATCAACCTTCCATATCGCTTAAGGGCCTGTTTAGACTAGGGCTTATGTGAGATAGTAGAAGGTAAAGGATACAATTACTCTGTATACTACTTGGGGGGGGGGGGGGGGGGGGGGGGACTTGGGATTTTTGTTTGCTGCTCATATGGGAGAAAGTATCTATGGAGACAACCCTGACATTAAATGATCTCACAATATATGTAGGCCGTTGGGTCAGAGACGAAATTTGAAATTCTAATGATCGCAACGGTTGGCCATCATTAAGTATATTATAACGCCATAGACTCTCCTAAATGGAGTGTAATTGGAGGGAAAGAGAACCGTTAAAAAGACCATATATTTTGCTATTTTCCCTTTACTTTATTAAACTTCCCAAACATTGTGAAAAACTTTAGAACCTGCCCTTCAGTCTATCAATAAAGGGACAACTTTCGTTCTCACAGTCAATCTAATGTCTAGCTGAAAAACCTTTCTCATTCCACTTTCTCTTATGTAACTATACTAAACACTGATACCTAATTTTTAAGCCTAATTCCTATATTGATATAAATGAATAATGGAGAATTTATATGGAAGGATACCATTTATATGGTTGGATTCCATAGATAAAAATTAAAAGGTGTTTAATTGATAGTATGTGAGTTTTAGTCCTACATTGACTAGTTGAATATATTTTAAATGATTCAAATTAACATGTATGTTATATATAGTGTAACAAAGGTATTAGAAATGTACACTTGTGTTGGTATATAAACAAACGGGCACGTGCAAGCGAGCGAGCAAGAGCACTCGATCCGGCTCATGCGCGCGTGCCCTTTTTGCATGTGCTGCATTTAACAAGCCTGAACGTTTCGTAGGTTACGAACGTTACAAGGTTTGAATGATAGTTATAGCAGACGTTACAAACGTTGCAATAACTCGCATTCAAAGTCGTGTCTAACCCCTCAACTCACCTGAACCATATATAAATGGCCTTCTTTGTTCATTTAGGAGGCACGTAAAACATAAATAAATTCTTCTAATGTCTTCCTTTTACAATTCTGAAGCTGCTAACACTGAAGATTCCGACGAAGTGAAGGTGTCCAAGAGAAGAGAGCACTTCTTTGGACTGCTGCCACCTCGTCCTCGAAAGTATTGTGCAGACCCAATGCTATCGTAGGTGGGGCATAGTTTCCTCAAAGCTAAGAGGGCGATTCGGCGTATATCTGTAAAGTATTTCAGACTCTAGCTGTATCGGTTATGGTATTTATTCTGTGCTCTATTCCTCTATTCCTGTGCGGTATGTTCTGCTTATGTTTGGATCCGTTTTTATTATTGTTTTACCCAACATCTTCTTCTCTCCTTAATCCCAAATCATGGCCATCAAGAAACAACACCCGGTCGGTTTCCTCTTTAATTAATTCCTCTTTGTACTAACAACGGTCTAATGATTTATTCTTCTATTTTTTTAAGTCATCTTCGCCTCTTTAATTCCTCTTACTTTCACTGAACAAGATCAACCTTTTTTTTTTTTTTGCCCCCCAGAGTGCGTGGACCATCTTATTTATTCGTTCATTCTAAAGTCCTTCCCCCACGAAATTGCCGCTCTGCGTGACTTGACCATTGTTCCGAAATTGATAAAAATACATTTTTACCCTTTTTAATTTAGGGGCACCGGAGCGAACGGGTGGGCCGTACAGAACCGGCCCTTCATGTGGGGGGCCAGGTAGAATCCTTACCCCCGAAGCGAAGCCCTATATAAACCCCCCCGTAAAACCCCGTTTGTTCTAACTGTTTGATTCTTCGGCGGGGGATGGCGGGAAAGGGAGAGGGTCCGGCGATCGGGATCGATCTCGGGACGACGTACTCCTGCGTCGGAGTCTGGCAGCACGGTCGGGTGGAGATCGTCGCCAACGACCAGGGGAACAGGACGACGCCGTCCTACGTGGCGTTCACCGACTCCGAGAGGCTGATCGGCGACGCGGCGAAGAACCAGGCCGCCATTAACCCGACCAACACCGTTTTCGGTGAGTTTTTTTTATTCGAGTTTTGATTTTGTATCCTTAATCGGTTAATTAATCTATCTGTGGCGACTTGTTTGGGCTAGATCCGGTCGAGCTGGGGGCTTTTCCGGTGAAAAGTCGGCGGCTTTCTGCATTGTGTCAGTTTTCGGCTACAAGCCGGAGATTTTCCTTTCACGCTGCAAAATTTAAAAATTGGCTGCAAGATATCACCTTTTTTTTTAAAAAAATTTTATAGTAGATCTCGTCTCGCATTTTTTATTGCGTAGAAGGTGCATTGCTCTCCAAAAGATTTGGGAGCGAACGGGTTCAATTTTGTTAAAGTCAAGGGAGGCTAGAATTTTGAACTTAGATGAATTGTATAGTTAGTACAGTTAGGATGTGGAGGCCCTACTGTCTATTTCTCTCGTTTTATTGCCTAATCGAGATGAATTAATTGATTTGCAGTTAGGGCAGGGAGGTCCTACTGCCTGGGGTTTATCATTATTTATCTCCTTTTTTTTTCTCTGTAAAGCCTCAAGGGGCCATATTTCCTAATCGAGATGAATTAGTTAATATAGTTAGGACCTAGAGGTCGCCATCAAAAAGGATTTTCGAATAAATCATACGGGACTATTAGCCCTGTATGTATCGAATGATCTGTTTTGCAAAACCGTCTTCTTTTTGGCCTGTTGGTCAAAAAGAGTTCTATTTTGCTAAATATTTAGCAAAACGGTCTATTTTGCTAAATATTTTTGGTTTTGCTAAATATTTAACAAAATAGGTCTATTTTGCAAATTTCTTCTTATTTATCTCATTACTGTTAGGATTTTTCTACAGTCCATCCTTAGGTCTATTTTGCAAATTTCTTCTTATTTATCTCATTACTGTTAGGATTTTTCTACAGTCCACCCTTGGGGCACACGTTGAGGAGCAATAGATACTCCCAAACTACCTCCTGTATCGTAGAAAAATGAGTACGAAGTTGCGTCTACATAGAAAAATGAGTGCACATTTTAATAGACGTACCGTCTATTCCTCTCATTTTATTGACTATACGTATGTTATACTTTTCAGGACCATTGATGCTCAAATTCTTCTCGAATATCTAAATTATAACACTTGTAAAAATCGGCACGCCAGTTTGAATATTGGTCACGGAGGGTAGATGAAAACCAACCACTAAACTTGGTGCCTAGCGCTGATGTTCCCTATAGAGAGCATGTTTGGTGATTGACATTTCTTTTGCAATGGCTTCCGTCATCATCCATGGGTCTCGGTCCGTTATAGTTGTCTTAGGAGCCTTCTTCATTAGAGATACAAAAGCCTGCCAAATAAATTAGATTAAATGAGGACTCACAGAGAAATACAAATATATATAAGAATATAATATTACAATATTGAATTAAAAGTATGATAGCTTCCAACTAGTTTACCTTCATCAACCATCAAAATGAAATTGTTGTTTCATTGCGAAGAGGCACACTACCAAACTGTAAGTGGTATTAAACAATGAGGTGGAGACCTAAAAATATTCTCTAACTTGTGCTCTTCATTGCATCATTCTTTATTTGTTGTTTGTTAATCTTTCCATAAAGATTATGAATATCTTTTGGAAGAAAATTTAGATGCTCATGTTTAACATTTTTCTCAAGCTCCATGACACAGAATGATTTGTCTAATTAAAAGACCTCATTCTTTCAATAAGCGAATGCGTTCTTCATCTTGTTTTGTAATATTACGATTAAAAAGGGAGGAAATACACTTCTTCAGGAGACGGGAATTGATAATTTGCTCCGTAATGAACTATGTGACATGCCATTCCAAGGGGAAAATGTCAAATTCCTTTCTTAACATAATGAGTAAATAAGCTCAAAATTCACATCTAAATGGCTTTATTTCGCTTAATGCGTAAATAGGCTCAAAATTCACATCTAAATGACTTTATTTCGCTGCTCAAGTGACGGCTTGATGACTTTTAGAGGTAGCTTTCCTTCATGATGGCAAAGTAATCTCGCCTTATTTTTCATCCTTGCTTATTGAGAAATCTTCCTTCTCTAATTGGAAAACCTCTTTTAGAATTTTTTTTTGTAATAGCTATATGCCTCTTCAATTCTGTTTGGTTTCTTCTATAATTATAAGGAAACATGTTTCCTTCATTTTTGGTGTTTTCTTCACTTTTATGGAAAATATTTTTTGTGTTTGTTTAGTCCAAATTTCAACCACTTTCCATAGTTTGGTTCAAATTGAAGAAAGAAAAGAGCAATTGATGTGTGATTAGGTTCCCTCATTTTTTTTTAATTTGGTTCAAGTTAAAAAAAAGAACAAACCAAGATTGTGATCACCATGGTGTGCTTACCACTCAAATAGAACAAAAATTTTGCCAATATGATTAAGCGGTGAACATACCCACACCTTATAAAAAATGCTTGCAGCGGTAAATCCAATTGTAATTTAATGTAGTAAGTTGGAAAATATTTGAAGATTTGAGGGACTCATTTTAAATTTTTATTAATTGGGGTACTCATATGAATATATAACATGCTTGGGACTATTATGAAAAAATTTATTAAAGGGAGCTGCAGAAAATCATGTGACTGCCAAAATCAGAGTTTTGTTGGAGGAAAGCAAGTTTTCTTTTTTGATGACTGATGAGGTGGCACACCTTTTCTTCCTCTCTTTCATTTTTCTGTTTTGCAATCGTAGCATGAGAAAATGGGAGAAAATGGCACATTTGAAGTTTTCTTTTGATATCAGGTTTCATTTTGGGCTTTCTCCAATTTTTGGACCAACTGAATAGGCCCTTCTTCACTAAGAAAATATTGACCAACAAAAAGATCAAAATTATTTTTCGATATGATTTCATCATTCTCTTTCCTCATGCTAGATTATTCACAGCCATAATCTCCATCTTCAGGAACCTTGTTTATGTCTAAGCAATTTCTCGTTGTGATTTGATTAAAATCTATTGGGACTTCATTGTCCATCTTCAATATTTTGTTATTAACCCCCCAAAATTTTGAAATTGATCTTAGGCTTCCAAATCCTATTAGTATGTTGAAATAAGCCCCCTTAGTTAATATCTGACTAAAATGGGGGAGGTATTCTATTTAAGCTTTTTTTTTTGATGATTTGCCCATTATACCTCTCTCACATAAACCCAAACCATTAACTGCTTTAAGTTATACCTGTTAAACTCTCCAAATCTGATTAATAACACCCTAACCCAGATCCTTTTTTCCACTTCA